AGGGGGGGATTCTGCCCCTCTGCTCCGCTCTGGGGAGACACCCCCCAGTGCTGCCTCCAGCTCTGGGGCCACCAACAGCAGAAGGACATGGAGCTGTTGGAGCGGGGCCAGAGGAGGCCCCGGAGATGCTGGGAGGGCTGGAGCCCCTCTGCTGGGAGGGGGGGCTGAGAGAGTTGGGGGGTTCAGCCTGGAGAAGAGAAGGCTCCGGGGAGACCTTGGAGCCCCTTCCAGTCCCTCAAGGGGCTCCAGGAGAGATGGGGAGGGACTCTGGATGAGGGAGGGGAGCCCTAGGAGGAGGGGGAAGGGTTTGACCCTGCAAGAGGGGAGATGGAGCTGAGATGTGGGGAAGAACTTGTTTGGTGTGAGGGTGGTGAGAGCCTGGCCCAGGTTGCCCAGAGAAGCTGTGGCTGCCCCATCCCTGGAGGGGTTCAAGGGCAGGTTGGAGGGGGCTTGGAGCAACCTGGTGTGGTGGGAGGTGTCCCTGCCCAGGGCAGGGGGTGGAAGTAGATGAACTTTGAAGCACTTCACCGGGCTGAAACGTACCCAGAGCTTCACATTACACTGAGGTCATGTCTTCCTTTACCCCTCCTCGTTCCATGGTGTTCAGTCATTGAACCTTTCTCCAGAGGGGTGTGTGAGAGATTTAACCACACCTGGACACGTTCCTGTCCAACCTGCTCTGGGTGACCCTGCTCTGGCAGGGGCTTGGCCTGGATGATCTCCAGAGGTCCCTTCCAACCCCTACAATTCTGGGATTCTCCCCCTTTTTAAGAACCCCTGTCTCCCGCTTTGGGTGTGAATCCCCCTTGGACTGGGGGGATTCACTGGGAAGGGGAAAGCCTGTCTGAAGGGTCTGAGCACAAGCTGGTGGAGCACAAGGTGGAGGATTCCTGCCGTGGTGGCCGTGTGGGGACTGTGCTGGTGTGATGGGTCCATCTGGTGGCCGTTGTCCCTCTGATCAGCACCGAGACACCCGTGATCACCAGTGGTGGGGGTCCTGCTCCCAGCTCCCTGCAGCCCCATCCCGGAGGGCGAGGGGGTTGGTGAGCAGCACAAAATCACAGAATCTCACAGAATCTTCTAGGTTGGAAGGGACCTTAAAGATCATCTTGTCCAACCATCAACCTGACTGACAAAAATAGACACCCACACAACAAACAAGGAGCATCATCACTAAACCAGACCTCCCAGCACTACATCAACCCGTCTTTTGAACACCTCCAGGGATGGGGCCTCAACCACCTCCCTGGGCCATTCCAATGGCTGAGAACCCTTTTGGTGAAAAAATTTTTCCTAATATCCAGCCTGAACCTCCCCTGGCGCAACTTGAGGCCATTTCCTCTTGTCCTGTCGCCTGGGACTTGAGAAAAGAGACCGACCCCCATCTCTCTGCACCCTCCTTTCAGGGAGTTGGAGAGAGCACTAAGGTCTCCCCTCAGCCTCCTCTTCTCCAGGCTGAATAACCCCAGCTCCCTCAGCCTCTCCTCATGAGACTTGTGCTCCAGACCCCTCACCCCCGTATCTGTCCCCAGGAACAGCTTGAAAATGGGATGGGAGAAGGAAAATCTGCAGGATGGGGGGTCGGTGGGTTAGAAATCTCAGCTGGGGAGGGGGTGGTGTGGAGAGGATGCAAAAAAAAGAAAAAAATGCCCACCGCCTGGTTAATTATTTGGATTGTTAATCAGCTGATTAGCTTTGTCCTGTACACCATCCTCCCTGGGAGGAAATGTTTTCTGTGTCCCAGCATGAAGTTCCTGAGACTCTGCTCCTCCTCCACCCGCCCCCGGCGCCGCTCACCCCCCCGGGGGGGCCGGAGGGACCCACTCCATCCTCCCTCCGGGATGGGCACCAGCAGGAGACAATAATTTAACTCCTTATCAAAAAAGGGAGTGAGAAAAATAAAATAACTCTCAGTACCAAGTCCAGCCGCTTTGGCCACGCGCCCGGCTCAGCTGCCAGCTGTGGTCCAGATGTGGATGCTCTGGATGATGAGCCACTCGCTCTGGTCCCGGGTGACCCGGATCCTCACGCACTCCACGGGGCCGGGCAGGGCCTTCTCCAGCCCCCGCCGCTCGAAGGTCCCCTTCTGGAAGGTGCCCACAGTGGTGTAGGCAGAGCAGTCCCGGCCGTCGGCCCGTCGCTGCCGGCCCAGCTCCAGCACCCCCGCGTGCAGGAAATCCTGCCGGCGCTCCTCCGAGCCCGTGCGCACCCGGACACGGGTGACCTTGGCCGGCTGCTGGAAGACGATGGAGAAGACGCTGCCAGCTGTGGGGTCTTTCCCCCAAAAATACCCCTGTGCTGCGCTATAAGCCTTGAGGGGCTCGTAGTTCTCAAAGACGGACATGCTGGTGAACAAGGCCGCTGGTGGGTTGTCGGGAAGGTCCAAGGCATCGTCCTGGAACTCATCGTCCTCCAGCCGGTTGATGGTGCCCTGGAAGGAGGAGTAGAGGCCCATGTGCTGGAAGAGGGAGGGCTTGAAGCGGATGACGTCCTTCTGGGTGAGCAGGAGGCGGAAGTGGGACAGCAGCCAGTCGCAGGGCATCTCCTGGTAGAAGAGGAGGAGGAAGCGAGCCAGGCGAGGAAGGTCGCTGGAGTGGTAGAGCTTACCGATGTAGCCCAGCTTGGAGAACTCAAGGGTGGCCCAGTTGGTGCCTTCCCGGGAAGCCAGTGCCTTGCGGATGGCCGTCAAGAAGGACTTGGCAGACCAGACATCATCCTCAATCATCAAGTAGTAGGAGGAGAGGTTGGCAGCAAAGGCGAAGAGGAAGGCGTAGTCCACGTTCTGCTTGGACCTGAACTTCACCCGCTCCTCCGGGTCATTGTAGTTTCTCTTGAGGCCCTCGAGGGTGGGGTAAAACTCCTGGGGAACATGGATAAGCAGGAGCCGGCCCAGGAGGATGTGGTGAGCAAACTTGCGGGTTATGTCGGCGGCCACACGCATGTTCCACATGGGGTCCATGTCGGCCAAGTGCACCACCACCACCATCTCCTGCAGCTCCGCCTCTGTGGACTTCATGAAGAGGGACTGGAGGGTCGCTGGGAGGTAGTAGCCACGCGGCCGCCGCACTGACGCCAGGCCCACCGCCAGGAATTCTGCAAGGCAAAGGAAAGGCATTGGCTGGGATGCACCAGGGTGAGGCTTTTCCCTGCCAGCCACGAGGTGGGGGCTCCAAACAACTCTCCCCATGGCCAGCCCACGTGGTTATGGCCCCATGTCCAAGACTGGCAGGTCCTTGCTGAAGCCCCAGCACCTGAGGAAGTGCCCTCCCCAAAGGGCAGGCAGAGGCCAGGATGAGAAGTCTTCCTCCGAAGAAGAAATATTTGGGAAAAACACCTTAAAAAAAAAAAAAAAGCAAAACTTGGGGAAGGAACAGTGCAGAGACAATCTGCGGGGCAAGAATGGCTCCATGGCATGGCTGCAGATCCTGAAGCATGCCCCAACCTGCTCCAAACTTTGCGGAGACACAACCACACTGAGATGAGGCCTCCTCCTGCCCTCCCCACTGCCCAGCTGTGGCTGCGTTTGTTCAGCTTCACTGAAGCTTCTGCTCCGCGCAGCACCAGGCACACACGGCACCTGGTTTCAGCACGGGCTCACATGGGGCTGCCCTGAGCTCCTTCCATTACTCTTCGTGAACCCGTCCAAGAGCTTGACCCACATCTCTCACACTATGGAGTTGTCCCAGTAGTCCAGCCCCACCATCTCCACCTTCCTAACTGGAGAGCAGGAAAGTCAGCCCCAGGGAGATGGGTCTGTCCCAAGGTGCAGCAGAAGCAAGGACCTCCATGCTCGGAGCACACTGACCTTCACACCTCCATCTAATCCCAGCCCTGCCCAGTCCGGAGTCCCACAGACACTCACTTTTGTGGGATGGCAGGGAACCAGCGAGGAGGTGGTAGGAGACATTGTGGAGTGCAGAGAGGTCATCCATGTCCTGGAGGACGTGCTGGGCTCCTTCTGGCTGCAGCATCTTCAGGACTGCATCTGGCTCCAAGCCCTTGAGCTGGGTGGGAGCCGCAGAAAGCCAGGTCAGACCCAGAGCACCATGGACACGTGGGAACAAGGGGGAAGGACAAGGGGGTACCCAGAAATGAGGGGGAGCTCCTGTCCTGCCCTCCCAGCTCTGGGATTGGGACATTCCCAGGTGCAACCCCAGGGAGAAGGCAGAGCTGGAGTTTGGGGGTGACGTGGGGCAGGGAAGGGAGCAGAGTCCCTGTGGGGCAGGCAGGGATAGAGGATGTGCCAGTGGCCCCTCCAGTGGGGAACTCACCTCCAGAGGATCCTCTTCCTGCTGGCTGCCCCCATGGAGGAGGAAGAAGAGGAGGAGGAAGGAGGCTGCAAGCGCAGCCGTGAGGAAGCGCTTCATGGAGCATCGCATGGCACCGGGCTGGCCTGCGGGAGGAAGAGGAGTGTTGGGTCAGGGCACAGCGGGAGGAAGGGGAGTGTTGGGTCAGGGCACAGCCTGGGGAAATCCCCTGTCCCTGGAGAGGACGGTGGGGTGGCACCTGGATGCACCCCCAGGGCTGCGCCCTCTGCCCAGAGCACCCGGGGGTGGTCATGGGACATCAGGTGGCACCTGGGCACTGTCCCCTCTGGGCAGGCAGGGGCAGGACACCCCAACCCAGCCAGGAAAAAACCCCATCAGCCAGGTTCAAAACCCAAAACCCACCCCACCAGCCCTGGCCCGCCAGCACCACACGCAGCAGCACCCGAGCTGGAGGCAGGAGAAAGGCAGGTGACACACCTTGGGGGAGGCTTTTGGGTCAGGGTGGCACCTCAGGAACAGTCACCGAGACCTTGGGAGCTGGCGCCGAGCCCTGGGAAACGCTCAGGTCCCGGGGGAGCCCAAGCTGCTCTCCCAGCACCGCGAGGACGAAGCGGGTCCCCCGGCCCCTCCTGCCTCCCCGCTCCCCATCCGCCTCCGGGCAGCCCCATCCCCCCTCCCAGCCACCTCCCCGCCGTGGTGGGACCAGAAAGCCGTCCCCAAGGTGGGGGAGAGTGTCACCTGCAAGGAATTTGTGCCGCCCTGGAGATACTTTGCCTGCTGGCAGAGGCGTGGCGGGAGGCTAAAAGGCTCCTGTGTTTGCCTGGGGTTTTTCCATTATAAATACACCCGGGGCTGCCCTGGAGAAGGGGAACGTGGAGAGAAACTGAGTGCCTGGCCCAGAGGGGCAGAAACAGCCCCCTCCCAACTGCTCACAGCACTTCACCTTGAGTGGGTCAAAGCACCTTTGAATTCAAACACGTGGAGGAAAAGCCCTCCCGAGCCATAAAATAAAAGGCAGAGAAAGCTGTGGGGGCTCCTGAGCGAAGGCTGGGCTCTACCCAGGACTTTTACTTAAATACATCATGACATCTGCTGCCACCAAGCAGTGGATGCTCCGAGCCCACCCGCGGTCCCCGATGGCAGAGGCTGGTGCAGCCCCTCCGTTACCACCACTCTGGAGTGGGAGCTGGGCTTATTTTAAGGTGAAACCCCCTGTTTTCACAGAATCACAGAATTATCTAGGCTGGAAGAGACCCTCGGGATCATCGAGTCCAACCATCCACCCTACTCTAAAGTACTCCCCTTTCCTGCCCAAAAGTCCTTTGGGGGACTTTGTTAGTATCGCTACATCCAAGTCTGCCCGAGCGCTGTCCTTGCCTCACCGACCTCACCCGGGAACATTGCTCGTTATCACATTTCTCATTATCACACTGCTCGTTATCATCAGGAACACTCACCAGAGATAAGGGACTCAGCCGAGCCAGCTGCTCTCTGTGGGGAGCGCTGGGCTGAGCCCTGGCATCGGGGAGCCCCGTCCCGGCCGCGGCGAGCGGAGGAGCCGCCTCCCCCGGTGGGAGGTGGGGACAGGGATGCCCGAGGTTCAGCTCCCGTTAGTGCTGGGTCTTGGAAGTGCTCAGGGGTCAATGAGCCGCTTAAAATCTCTGCCCAGGTCACAGCAGAGCGGGGAGAACTGGGGGTGCTCATGCTGTGGGTCAGCTCTACAGCCAGCTCTTCCCAAAACACCCTCTCCTTGCCCCACAGCGATGGGGGCTCAGGAGCAGCTTTAGGGACCCATCCTGGCCCTCCTGGAGGGGGATTCCCAGACCTGGACCTCCATGACCTGAGGCCACGGGGTGAGCTGGGCACGGTGAGGTTTGGCAGCCGGCCACACACGGGGCTGGGCGTATTTATGCTCTGGGTGGCCAAAGGTTTTTCTGGCAGGCGGGAGGGTGTCCGGCTGCCAACGGCCCATCCTTGATGGAAAACAAGGTGCTGCTCAGCACCCCCAGCTCCCACAGAGCAGGGAGCTGTGGAGAACGGGGGGGACACACACACTTCACCCCTCCAGCATCACTCTGCATCGCAGGCTTAACACAACAGAAGATTACAAACACAGCCTCATAATTAGCCTCCTAATTGGGCTTTGGATTTTTGCATCCATGTCGTAACAAAGCAGCCCAGCTGAACGGGCACAAGCAGGACCTCATCACTGTGGGCACATCCCCAGGATGCAGCATCCCCCCGGCTCCTGCTCCAGCTGCCTCCATGGGGCATCCCCGTCCCCACTCCTGCCCCAGCACCTCCCCCCCAGCTCAGCACCCCGTGGGGATGTCCCCAGAAGCCACCTTGCTGTGGGGCCTTTCAGGCCGGTGGCCAGGAGCAGTTGGCTGCTAAAAGCTGCTCGCCCGGAGCCACAGCCAAACTCCCCCGTTTCATTAGGAGACTCCTGGCCAGCAGGACGGCGTGACGCAGCAGCCGTGACTCAGTCGGGCAGCGGAGGGGGAAGAAGAACGAGTAAATACACGCCTGGGTCCCGCGGGGCTGCGAGGAAGGGCCGGATGCTCCCTGCACACGGGTGGCTCCTGCTGCTCCCCCCGGCCCCGGGGAGACAGCCCGGGCTCAGCCTCCCACTGCCAGAAGCTCATTTCCATGCTGGGGGAAACTGAGGCACAGGGAGAGGCTGTGCATCGCCCAGCAGCATAAGCACCTGGTCTCCTGCATCACAGAGATGTTGGGGCGGGGGGTCCCCAGGATGGAGAGGGGCCGGGTCTAACCCAGCACCAGAAATTGCCACTCACTCATGACAAATTTTTGCAGCACTATGTCCCCGATGGGCAAATCGCAGTCGTTCGGGGCTACATGGGACGGGGTGCTCCTGCCCCCCCCCCAGGAGCCAGCCCGGGGTCTGTCCCATGCCCTGGGGGTGTCTCTGCTCCGTGGGTTGTCCCGTAGGGAGGAAGGAGGGGAAGAGCAGAATTTCAGTAGCGCAAGACTCTGGGAACTGAAGCTTTAGGTCAACCCAGGTCTCCAACAGCCCCACAGCACTGGGGGGGGGCTCTGCAGGCAGCTTGGTAAGGGGACACTTGGGTCTGAGGCTGTCCCCACAGCTGACAGCGTGGGGACCCCCACCCCTCCATCCCTCATCCCCTCCCTGGGTCCATCCCCAGGCGACCCTGGCTCAGGGCACCCCATTCCCGAGCAGCCCCATCCCGTGGTGGGATGGGAGCTGGTGCCGGGCTCCGTCCGGACGCACCCACCGAGGCGGCAGAGACTTACGGGGCGCGGGGCAGCCCGGTGCGTGGGTGCGCGGCGGCGTCCCCTCCCTGGGTCGGTCCCCAGGCGACCCTGGCTCTGGACACCCCATTCCCGAGCAGCCCCATCCCGTGGTGGGATGGGAGCTGGTGCCGGGCTCCGTCCGGACGCACCCACCGAGGCGGCAGAGACTTACGGGGCGCGGGGCAGCCCGGTGCGTGGGTGCGCGGCGGCGGCAGCCTCGCCGTCTCGCTCGGCCTTGGCAGCTTCCCCAGCGCTGGCCGGACTCTGGTTTCTCACTCGGCAAAGCCCCACCCCGAGTCCTCGCCTGCAGAGGAGGAGCGTCCGCCAACAGCCTCTGCCCCGGGACGGCGAGAGCTCGGCCGACCCACCGGGCTGGTGGGACTCAGCGTGGAGAAGAGGAGGCTCCGGGGAGACCTAATAGTGGACTTCCAGTACCTGAAGGGAGCCTACAGGAAGGCTGGGGAGAGCCTGTTTAGAAAGGCCTGCAGTGACAGGACGAGGGGCAATGGCTTCAAGCTGGAGGGGAACAGATTTAGACTGGAGATGAGGAGGGGGTTCTTCACTGTGAGGGTGGTGGAGCACTGGAACAGGTTGCCCAGGGAGGTGGTTGAGGCCCCTTCCCTGGAGATATTCAAGGAGAGGCTCGACGAGGCCCTGGGCAACCTGGTCTAGTTGGGGGTGTCCCTGCTGACTGCGGGGGGTGGGACTGGATGGCCTTTGGAGGTCCCTTCCGGCCTGGGCAATTCTGTGATTCTGTGATTCTATGACCCTGGGTGGGATGGGGCGAAGGGCCCCCAGCCCCACCGCGGGGGTGAGGGCGGCCCCAGCCTTCCCCCCGGGCTGGGCATCCCACCCTGGCACCGGCTGCCTCCCACCCACCCGCCACCCCCCTCGGCAGCCCCAGTCCCCCAGCACTATCAGACCCCCCCCAAGGGTTCTCACCAAGCCCCAAATTGCCGTTAAAACCTGGCACTTTGGTGGCACCGGGATGAAAATCCCCCATGTGCTGAGCTGGGGCCCTGGTGACACAGAGTCACCGTGTCTTTTCGCCCCCATTTATTTTCTGCTGAGGTGGCAGAAACCTCTGGGGCTGCTGACCCGGAACTGCCCCCCCACCGTAGCCTGGGCCAGGGCAGAACTGGCCACCAGGATCCCACCTGGGATGCAGTTTGTCCCCAGCTCTTCCACCCTCCAGCCTCATTTCTCCCCCACCAACTCCCTCCTCCTGACCCCCCCCAGGAAGGCAGCCCCAGCAGCCCCGAGCACCCACCACGAGTCACCCACCAACATGGCTTGCACCCAGCTCAGAGCCAGGTGCTCCTCACCATCTCTGGACACAACTCACCCATGGCATCCAAACGGATCCATCCCATCCTCCCCATTTATCCACATGGAACCACATGTTCCGTTTCCCTCCTCTCCTCCCTGGCCTGGATCTCTCCTACCTTTGGGAAGGCCCCGATGTCTCTTCCAGGGTCCGTCTTGTGCAAATTCCCCCCACCACCTTCCAGCCCCGGCTGCTCACGGAGGGTTCAGATGGAACCACCACCCTCAGTCACATCTGCGAGAAGGCGGGTGGCTGCAGAGAGATAAGGCAGGGCAGGAAGCAGGTGATGGCCCTGGGAAGGAGAGGAAGAGACGTCCACAGGCTTCCGGATCCGCTGCCTTTCGCTTTTCCCAGGCTGTATAATTTTTAAATCCTTAAATTCCCCTCATGGGATGCCAGTGACTCTGTCCCCGTGGGGTCCCGGGGAGCTCAGTGGGGCTGCTCTACCTGCATCGGTGCAGGGTGGTCCGGTGTCTGCGCTGGGGCAGAGTGGCTGGAAGGTGCCAGGAGAGCCAAGGGAGCCGGGACGGTGCAACCCAGCAGAGATTTGCAGTTTAATTGCACAAGGGAAGGAAGGGATGGGGATGTGGGGCTCGGTGGCTCGCCTGGGATGTCGAAATGACGGGGAGCAGCCGCAGGATGGGGAGGGCTTTTCTCACCACAGGTGCCCCACGGCCCCCATCCCTGTGCAGGAAGGAACCGGGGCTTGGTCCTTCCTGCCCTGGGAGGAAGGAAGGGGAGGGTGGGGGGCCCTTGGGGTCCCCAACGCTCGTGGGTGCAACGGGCAGCTCCGCCACAGAAACATGCCTTTTGGGGACCACCCAGCACTGCCATGGGGTGCGGCAGAGCCACCAGACCCCCCCTTCGGTCCCCACACACCACCTCAGGGTGCAGAGCTGGGGCAGGGTTTGACCCTCTCCAGGCACATCCATGAGCCCCCCCATGGAATCCACAGCCAGGACACAACCCCCAGTGGCCACCATGATGTCACCCTGGGGCCTCTTGACCCCCAAGCAAGTCCCGCAAGCCCAGCCTGAGCCAGCCCATCCCCTCACCCCCTTGTGCCATGGGGCAAATCCCAAGTGCCAGCTGGGGGGGCTGGAAAAGGGCCCCCTCCACCAGTCCCCCCCTGCGGGGGCCACGGCACGGCCTCAGCCCCTGGGGACAACCAGAACCCTGGCACCCAGAGGTGCTCACAGCCCTGCCTCTGGCCCAAACTGCATGCTCATCCTTTCTGATTGCTGAAGAATTGTTATCATCAACATCATCATCATCGTCATTATTATTACTAATAATTTTGCCTGGGGAATAGAGAGCTGGCTTAAATGGGGCTAAAAGGCACATATTTGTCCCTTTCAACTGAAATACTCTATTTTTGCTTGTTCTTGCAATAAAGTGGAGAAGCCTCAGGTGCAGAGGCTGTTTTGTGGTGGGCACACGACTGTGCAGGCACAGAGAACCAGTCCCCCCAGCTGGGGCTGGAGCTGAGCAC